GCTTGGGAACAAGCTGAATTGGAGAGTTATTAAGCCTGAGCTTAATATTAGAGGTGCTAAAACCTCTGGGACGATCACGCTGCTGGCCAGTAAAGGCAATGGCAGAGATCTTGGAAGGATTGAGTTTAATCTTCCACCTGGTATAGTAGTCAAAAAGACATTTAAGGTGGGCATTAAGCTCATTGGAGACGCAGAAAGGATAAGACGAGCGCATGAAGACAAGGCAGTCGTCTGCGAAGCAGATTTGCTTAATAGGGGTCCGCGGGAGTGGAATATCTGCTATAAACAGGTTGAAAAGGAGGGGTCCAAGAACCGAGCCCTGAGGGACGCCAGCATCGATGGGGAAATCACGTGACAGAGAGGAACCGACTCGAACCTGAAAGGTTCTGTTAGAAAGAAATTTGTGGACAATACTGCAGAGCGTAGGAGAGAAGCCGAACTGGTGAAGCTTAAGGATTAAGCCTTCAAACCAGACAGTATCAAAGGCTTTTTCAATGTCAAGACTTAGTGCCACAGTGGGCTGCTTATTAAAAAAGCCTACGCATATCTCATTTTGGAGATGATGCAGGGCATGGATGGTAGAGATTTGGCTCCTAAAGCCGAACTGAAAAGGGGGAATAATATTATTCCCAGAAGAGAAGGATTTCAGCTTGCTGGCTATGAAGGTTTCATAGAGCTTACTGACAGAGTTGAGAAGAGAAATAGGACGATAGCTGAAGGGGTCAGCTTTGGGTTTGCCAATTTTGGCAACGGGACAAACTATGGCCTTCCTCCATGGCTGGGGGAAGGAACCAGTGTTGTACGCATGGTTGAAGAGCATGGCGCACTTTTTAAAAAAGAGTGGTGAGAAACGCCTCATGGCGTAGAAAGACACACAGTCAGTGCCAGATGACTTTTTAGGGGCTTTAAGCCGAAGCATGTCAATAAGATCAAAAGGGGTGAGAAACCCTTGAGTGTTTTCAACATTGATGCAGTGAGCGGGAAACTGCGGGGAGAAAGTAACAATGCTTTCATTGAAAGCATCAAAAAGCCCATGAACTACAGAATTCGTAGTTAACGTAAGGTGGCGCTCGCCTAGGCCAGCCGTAAGACGGTGATTAGTCATAAAGACTTCACCAAAGACGTTGGCTTTATCAACGTCGTCATACACCATGGAGTTGCCATGGCGGAGGTCTGAGATGGACCTATTGGATCCACAGATTTGCCTGACCGTACTAAAGACGTCAGACCGGCACTGAGTGGCACGAAGTCTGGCACTAATGGAATTAAACCTGGATTGGTTGACTCTCTGGGCAATTATGGTGTCCAGGTTCTTAAGAATGGCTTGGAACGCATGAGCTTGCGGTGAAGCTACCTGTCTAAGGCGATAAGTTCTGCGGCGAAGCGATTTCCTCAGGTTAATGAGGAGAAGGGTAGAAGCATCAAGAGGAACTTGATAAAATTTGCGAACACGCACCTTCGGAACATGGTCCTCAATTGTGGAGGTGAAAATGCTTTCAAGAGTACGGGCAGCAAAATCAATCTCCACAGGAGTCATGTTCCTGTATTCGGGAATGCTCAAATTAAGAAGGAGGTGGTCGAGAGCGAGGTTGAATTCCGACCAGTTGGTGCTAGGAAAGTTAAAAAAAGTGCGAGGGCAGGCACGAGAAGCTCTGCAGTCGTGAAGCACAAGCCTTACTGCTTGGTGGTCAGATATGCCGTCAATGACTCGTGGGTCACTAAGGCAGGAAAGGAGGCGATTATCCGCTAAGAAAAAATCAATGATACTATTAATATGAGTCGGAACCGAAGGAGCTACCACACTTAAAACAGGACTGACTGAGCTGCTAGTCAGCCAGTTGAATAGCCTAGTGCCACTAGGGCAAGAGGCAGAATTATTCCAAAAGGGGTGCTTACTATTGAAGTCACCACCGATAAGGAAAGGGTTAGGGGACAAGGAGGCAAGGGTGCCCAGATCACAAGGGACAATGCACGAAGCAATAGAGGGAGTGTGGTAGACGCAAAAGATGTTAAGATCAGGGCGGTTGGAGAGAGAAAGAGTAATGCCAACCGCCTCAAGAGAAACAAGTGAAGGGATGTGAATCCTTGAACACTTGAGAGAGTCTTTTGCCAAAATGGCGACTCCCCCACCGACGCCGTCCCTATCGAACCGGATAAAATTATATCCTCTGACATCAACAACGTCTCTGTAATTGAGCCGTGTTTCAGTCACAAGGATGATATGGGGGTTGTTGCGTTCAGCAAAATCCGCTAAAAAAGTACGCCTAAGAATGGAGTGTATAGAATTGACATTAATGAGAATGATCTTTAGATCATTCATCTCAATGCCAATTCGAGAACTTTCTGGACAAGAAAGGCTTTCTTGTCAGAATGGGGCAAAAGGCTGTACTGCTGTTTAATGCCTGCAGCAAAGGCGAAGATTCCCTGAATATCAGGGAGAAAGGAGTCAGGCTCAGGAGTACGAATAGGGGAAGATTTAGCTGCTTTAGGCAGCGAAGTAGGCTTGGGGGTTGCAGCTTTTGCCGCAGAGGCAAATGAGACTCCAGGTCTCACGAAATTTATTGGAGCCCTCAGGTCGATAGACATGAGGGGGGGGATTTTTTGCGAACGAGTCTTACTGGCGCGAAGAGAACGCAACTCCTTAAATTTGGAGCAGCGGTAGTTGGCCGGATGACCAGTCTGACCACAATTACAGCACTTGGGAATAGTGGCTGCAAGTTGCTCCTGAGTGACTGGGTCAAAAGCAGGAGGAGGAAGTTGACACTCGCCACGAGTATGTGTCTCACCACAGCGCACACAACGATGGGGGTAGTTGCACAGCTTAGCTGTGTGAAAGTAGCGTTGGCAGTTAGAGCATTGAGGGATCTCATTGCGAGATTTCTGCTCCAGTGATATAATAATGTTAAGCGATGGAAGCCGCTTAACACTTAAGAGGGATTTAATGTCCGTGGAAGGGACAGGATGAAGTTCCCAAATGCAGGTATTGGCATATCGGGAGGGATTACGCTTTGTAAAGCGCGCGGGGGGCGTAAACTTGGAGACCTTCGAAAAGGAGAACTCAGGTAAGTCCGTCACCAACGCTGACTTCAAATCATCCTCATCATAGGATGAGGGAAAGTTCTTAAGGAGGACAGGAGTGATTCGGTCCTCAGAGGGAATGGAGGCAAAACTCTTGATTTTCTGCTCACGGAGCAGGGAACTGATGTTGTAAAAGGTATCCTTACTCTTAGTAAGGATACGCGTGGTTGTGCTGTTTACGCACTTAAACTCATAAACAGCATTGGGAAAAGCGAATTTAATAGCGGAGCCAAGCTCCTTGACGTTGACGCCACGGGCCGTAATGGCTGGTGGCGTCGAAGACTTAGTAGCCGAAGGCAAAAGAACAGTAGACGGAGTGGAGGGATTGAGTCCCACAGGGACCTTGGGCGCTAAAGAAGGCTTGATGGGATTAGCGCTAGAAAAAGATTTGGGTCTTGGCGCTGGCTTGGGGAGACTAGAAGTGCTACAAATGGCAGCTGCGGAGGTAGAGGGGGGTGCAGTAGCAGCGGTAATGGAAGAAGAGGAAGACTTTGGTAAGTTGTCCGTGAGCAGAGCCAGCTTAGTGGCAAGGAAGGCGTTCTCAGAACGAAGCCGGGCGTTGTCAGCCTTAAGGGCTGCAACGGATTTCAAAACAGACGCAAGTTGCTCATCGACTTGCTTACGGTTTTGGGGGCCAACGACAGTTCTAGGTCGTTTCAAAGTGGGGGATGGAGAGATCGATCTATTATCAGAGCTAACCTTACAGGATTGCGGGTCTCCATCTCCATCTTCCATAATTGTGAAAGAGAATAGTAAACTCAAGGAGTTAAGATATTATTTAAAAGGTGAGAAAAATTTTGGAAGGAAAGGAAAGAATAAGGAAAAATGAACGTGAAATAGATAATGAGTGAGATATATAAATGTAAGTGTAAATAAATACAATATATACTAAATATAAATTTGAATGTGAATGTATTTTTTTTTTTTTTTTTTTTTTTTTTTTTTTTTTTTTTTTTTTTTTCTTTAATTAAATGTAATTGAATATAATTTCATGTGAATATAATTACAAAAATAGATGCTAATATAAATACAGTATAGTACAGATACACTTATGAAAATAAATACAAGTACGAATATAATTAAAGTATAATTATAGATGTAAATGCAAATAATATAATTTCAAATAAGTACACATATAACTACAATTGTAAATAAGAGTAATGTAATGAATAATACAAACAATACAATATGTATATATAAATAAATATAATATATATAATATATATACTACAATAATGTACAATGTAATACAACAGTATATATAATATAAAAGAATATATATAAAGCAACGAAGCTTTTGCAACAACACTCACCAAAAACGGGAGTTGATGTGCAAATCAAAACAGTACAACTCCAAAGGTTATTTGAATGCTTCCTCCAAATACGATTTTTTCCAAAATCGACAGGAAGAAGATAAACACACCAAACAATTCACAAGCAGGATCCTCAAATGCACAAGAACAATGTGCACTTAGCCGAAATTGAAACAAACACGTTGCGCCTCCTTAGGTAGATGCGAGACCGTATTGAAAGCGGCCGTAGATAGGTTTAGCTTATCCCGCAATCACGCTATCACGTAAGCTCATAAGCTTACACCACAGACACGAACCGCCACAAATCAAGCTATTGAAGTTGAACTCGAAGCACAGCTTACAATGCCGTACTATGACGAGTTGTTTTTTTAAGCGAACACGTTTCCAAACACCGCGCCTAAACTCAACAAACTCACAAATTGCTACCACAAGTCAGAAGTTCAACTTTTAATTAAGTGAATAGTTAATATATATAAATATATCAATATTATTATATCATTCAACACAATATATGTTAAACAAATGAAACAACAACGTTGCACGTGGCCTAGTATAAAGCACTCGACCGTACCGAACGAATGAAACTTAACAACTGATGCTTTACATAATATTTAGTATATTCCATATATATTATAATAAATTATGTACATGTAAAAAATCAATGCTTATATTTAACATTAATCAATGAACAGTAAGAAATAAAATTATTGATTATCTTTAAAATGTTATTATTATATTACTTTTCAAGTAATATACACAATTACTACGGATAGACCTTGTATAAAATTAAAGTTGTCATATGCTGGTATGAACATTGCAAAAAAATGTTAAGATTTTATTAGAAAAGTACTTAAAACTATATCAATAAGGCGGCATTCGAATGTTACAATTTATTGGCACAATATATTTTTTTTTTTGCTTAATGAAAACGTTATACATAAAGAAGTATAAAAGTGGTATTAAAAAACAAATTAAATTAAAATTACTTAACAACACATTATATTAGAAATTAGCTATAACATTAAAACATTTTTAAATTCATGCATTTGTTTTCATGTACGAGTATTTACTGAGAAAATATATAATGCACAAATGAGAATTGCTGAATATTCAATTCGTCTTAAAAAAATAGTATGACGCAAATTGTTCGCAACGAACTGAATATTTACTTAAAGCTTATTTTAACCTTTATTTAATTTGTTTATATTGACTTAAATAGTTTTAGTTCTTATAATTAAATTAGTTTATGATTTAAACTATTATAACTTTTTTATTTTGTCACAAACATTCTCGACGTTGATTAACATTAAATTCCTTAAGGTTCTAATCTATTGCGGTTAAAACATCCTGGTGGCAGTGCTTCTGATATAAGGCGTACGTTGAGTACTTCTTCCTCCAACTCTAATAGTTCTTTCTCATACTTATCAATCCACTTTTTCTGTACATTGCGCATATCCCGATATTTTTCAATACGTGAAGTGAGATTAACACGATTTATATCGGCTTCAACAGTGTCAAGACGTGATTCTGATTTCATAGTATAGAACAATTATTAAATAATATTTTAAGTTTTCAATTATATTAACAGTTCACCTAATTCATTCAAATCATCTGTGTTTATGTCTCTTAGATTTTCTAATTCATCTTTAATGGCTGCCAATTCGCTGACAGCTTTATCTATATGTTTTTTAGCATCTTGAGTATCTGCTTTAGCTTGCCCAACCTAAGGAAATATGTAATAATGGATTTATATAATGGTTATCAATTTAATTAATGACAGTGTACCTTGCGTTTTGCATCATCCACTAAATTATCGTCTTTGCTGGAGGAGTCTTCTAATTTACTTATATCGAGTTCAGTCACCTTGACGCGGTGGTTGAGTTGATCAGCTTCATCACGTAGCTTTCTAGCACTCACTTTAGTGTCATTAGCTTTCTTTCTAATAATTTCAGCATCCTATAAATTTAAAAATATATTTCATTAATTTTTTTTAATAGCCTACACTAATTGAATACGAGTACAAATATGTTATTACTTTTCTTATTATCTATTATATTACCTTTGAAGCTTGTTCTGCATATTTATCCTGAGCTTCTTGAGCATTTTTCTTTGCTTCATTTGCGTTCTGGTTGGCGCCAGTTAATGCCTTTTAAAAGATTAATCTGTTATTAAAATGTTTTCGAATACTTTATAGATTCATATTTTACTTCTCCAGCTTTTCGTATCAAATTTTCAGCGTTTTCGATTTCCGTTTCGATACTGGGCACAGTCTTCAGTGCTAGTTCTGCTTTCTCAGATGATTTCTGTACGTCGGATTGGAAGCCTAAATATTAACAATATTTTTAACATCAAATTTTTAGTCTTATTTATATATAAAACTACCAGCTAATGTATGGTAGGTATTGTTGGCTTCTTTTAAAGTATTATCTCCCTGTTCCACAGCATGATTGGCTTTGTCAAAAGCGTCTTGAGCACGTTTCAGCAATTCTACATCGTCTTCTTTCTGTTTATTGGCTCTTTAATCATATTAAAAAATTAAAGTAATAATATTTTTATTAGAAAAGAAAACAACAAGCAAACCTCTCTAAAATGAGACCTGCTAATTCGTATTCGTCATCAAAATCAGCGAAAATTTTTCCGTTACTATTTGATATATCATCAACGCGCTTCAGCAAACGATCGGCCTGAAATCAAATACTTTTATAATTCACTGCATTCTTTAACTTATAATTTGTGCTTACTTGTTCATTTGCTGCCATCGCATCTTTCTTTAACTTTTTGATGTTTATTTCCGGAGCTGTTAGTCCGTTAACGTCTGTTAGTAGAGTTAATGCAGCATCATAGACTTCATTTGCTTTTCGTGAGGCTTCTTTTGTAGTTTGATTAGCAGCATTTAATGATTGCTTAACTGTGTTTAATTCCAGGCGTACATCAGAACGTAATTCGTCACTGTAAAATATGTTTTCATATGCATTATACTTGAATGTTCAAGTACTTATAAATACCATATATATGTATGTATATGTGTTGTTTACTTACCTGACTTTTTGCTGTAAGTTAATAGCATTTTTAGCCAGTTCGTAAGCTTTTTCGACAGCTTCATTTGCAGATTTGGCATTGTCTTGATCTACCTTTGCTTCCCATTCCAAGCGATCTGCCATTCCACGTGCCTCCCGGGAAATAACTGATATTTGATCCGATTGTACACCAAATTCCTCGGACTTATTTTTCGCTTTAGCCAATGCAACTGCACCCTCATCGTTCAGCAGATTTAAAGCCGTTTGCAGTTCGTTTTTAGCCGATTCAATAATGTCGTGTGCGTTCGTATAGTTGTGACGTGCCTTTTCAATTTCATCATTGGCTGCATCTTGCAACTCATCAGCATTGTTTAAATGTGTGCGTATGCCATCCAAACGTTTATGTAAGTCATCTAATACTTCAACATAAGTTTTACCTCCTTCACCCGCACCATACTTTGCATCAGTAAGTAATATGTCCACTTTCTCCTGCACAGTTTTTAATTTGGCTTCAAATTCATCATCGTTGGTAACGGGTGTCCGAGCAATATCGTTTAAAGTATCACTTAGATTTTGTAATTTTACACGATGCTCATTAGCTGCGTCTTGAACTAAGTTATAGCACTCTGGACAGTCAATACACCCAAGATGGCGATCATATTTGTTTTCCTTGCAGCGGTCACAACGGCGACCTTCTACATTATCATTACATGGACATTGACCATATTGATCACACTGGAAGCCTTTAGAACCACTCTCATCACATTCGCATGATTTGCAACCTTCTGAGGAAAATCCATAATGGTAAACTTCACATTGATCACATTGCTGTCCAATCACACCAGGCTTGCAGAAACATTGACCTGTAAATTTATCACATGTGGAATTGTAACTACCAACAGGATCACACATGCAGTTTTCGCAGCCATTTCCAGACATAATATTGAAAAAGCCAGGTTGACATTCACCACAATCTCGACCAATTACATTCGGTTTGCATTGGCATTGGCCAGTTACTTGATCACACTTGGAAATACCTTCCTCATTTTGTTCTGTACCAGGTGGATAACATGTACATCTATCACATTGACCATGTGGTAAAGCGAGTGGATCCCCAAAATGGCCAGGTAAACATTCATCACAGTAATGTCCAGCGGTATTATGTATACACTTTAGGCATTCACCTGTAGTACGATTACAGTTACCCACAGCATTTGGATCCACATTACCATTGCAATCACAAGCTTTACAAGTTTGTACCTCCCCATATAAACCAGTAGGATCTCCAAAGAAACCATCAGAACATTGCTCACATCGAGCACCAAAGTATCCAACAGGACATTCAGTACAGATCACCGTATCACCATTAATTTGCATACAGGCGCCATCGTTGGGACAAGGACAACGTTTGCAGTCATACGCTGTACCTCCTAGGGCATTTCCATAGTATCCTTTAGCACAAACATCACAATTATCTCCAGATGTGTTGTGTTGACATATGCAATGACCAGTCTCAGAGTCGCATATTTCAGCATGACCGTTACAATCACAAGGTATACAAGGCATAAACGGGCCACCAAGTGCTGGACTGTGACGGTAGCCTGGAGCACATGATTCACAAAACTGACCCAAATATCCTTCCGGACAAGTACATTGTTCAATCCAAGTAGCTGGCTGTCCAGCAGCACCACGATGTGCAGTCTGCATTTCGACATCATCTAAAATAGCTTCACCTTGCACGGAATATGTGGCACGAATCTTAATAGCAGTTAAATTCGACAGTATGGATAAAAATCCTCTTGCCGACTGACTGGGTTGCCACTGATAGTCACGATGTTCGTGCAAACGGAACGAATATTCTTTAACTCCTTGATCTGGCATGCCATTGTTTTGGGCAAATATAGGCAAAGAAATTTTTGTATTTGCACCTTCAAGTATAACATCACTTGCACTCGTGCTAGGTCCAACTTGTCCCACTAATTGCAACTTAAACTTTATATCACGATTATATGAGGCACGTTGGTCACCTAAAAATCGTTCTGGTGCCTGAAAGTATACATATTCATTTCCTTGTGCTGTAGTGCCAATGCTTCGACTATACTGGTTGTACTTAATATCAACATCACGGTTGTATAAGTCAATCGCAGTCCAACGCTCTTTGTGTTTGTTAAAATTGGAAGTGATCGACACTACCGAATATCCGGGTGCAGTTTGACATTCTGACGTATGTCCATAACAGAAGCAAGGAGTGCAACCAAAACGATTTATAATGTCCAAGTTGAAAAAACCAGGCTTACATCTACAATCAAGAAGTTGTGCAACTAATATACTTCTTTGATTTTTACTTTATACTTACTCATTACAACGTTTTCCTTCAACATTTTCCTTGCAATAACAAATGCCACTTTCAGGATCACAAGTTGGCATATTTTCAAATGAACCACGAGGGTCGCATCCACAAGGTTGACAACCATGCAAACCGAACTGATAAAAATTACTTGCACATCGATCGCACTTATCTCCGGTTACACCTGGTTTACATTGACATTTGCCTTGGCTGTTGCACTGTAGTGAGCGTGATCCAGTAGGGTCGCAATTACAATTGGTACAATAACCATCTTCCCGCATGTAAAAGTTCTCTTTACAACGTTCACAGTTAGGACCATCGCGATTTTCACGACAATCCAAACAGTGGCCGCCATGACCAGTTGTGTTAAAGAGATGTGCATCAAAGAAACACTTATCGGCATACCCGTTGCAGTTACAAGCTGAAAAGAAATGGATATAATGAAGTACTTATCACAACTAATTACCATATTATATATGAAATTACAATTAACTAAATACCAAAGCGCGTGTGCTTTAAAATCGATTTTGTTAGTACTGATTGAATAATATAAGGCTTCTACTAACAAAATATTAGTAATGCTTGAAAAAAATATGAGCACAAATTTTGTATACATGTCATAACGATGAAAATATAAGAGCTACTGAAACAACTAAACTTCAATATGCATCAGGAAACTTATTTAACTGTATATCTATAAAATCTAAGTATGGCAAATGCTTAAATGGACAACTTGTTAAGAATTCCATTCTGAACAGATGCACGAAGATACAGCTTGTTACACACACCTTTACACTCATTCACTTCGGTGGATGTTGCCCTCTTCCATTTGACATCATTGTAAAGTGGAAGGCATTTCTCACAATCCGGACCATCAGTGTTGTGCCGGCACTCACAAACCAAAGAACGTTCGCCATGCATACCTGTACTTGCTACACACTTACTTGCATGCCCGTTGCACTTGCAACGTGCACCAACTGCAATATCTGATATGGCATAGAAATAAGATTTCAGTACTTGCGGATCATAAAATACTTCGTCGCCGAATGTGTTAAGACGATCAAGCGTAATGCGGATATCAGTAGCAGTAACCCAGTCCTAAAGCACAAATAAGGTTTTTAAGTAATTGAAAAAAAATCACAACTCATTGGTTTTGAGTGGTGATAGGAAAACATCTACATTATTGAGATGAGATAAATTTATGACGTACTCACCTGTAGCTCAATGCTGCGCTCAAATATGATGCCACTCGGACGACCTTCGAGTGTTGAGAAAGCGATTTCACCATCTCGCAATGGTGAGATGTCGCTGTACTCACTGGTGCAGAGCGCATGTGCTTCTCCCTCGCCTTTGCGTATGGCACGTGAGTCCGGCAACGCATATGTGTCACGACACGTTGCACTATAGTACTGATACGGTATCCATTGTCCGCTCTGCGATGTTCGTTTGTAGATAGCAAAAGATTCGGGCCGTGGCGAGCGGAATAAAATGCGCACATATGTGATATCATATGATTTGCCTACATAAAGAACACTTTTATTAAATTTTTAATAAAAAATCCAAAGACGGAAAGGAAATGAACATAAAACAAAGAATGAAATATGTAAGTAGTAATAAGATCATGCAACAAACTGACAAACACAGAAATTGTCTCTGATTTTACGTTGCTGCTAGCTGCTAAATGTTAGCTACTATCTGCTAGCGTTTGCAGAACATTCTTGACACATTGTTGTCATATTGTTACATACCCAAGTGGAGTGTAAGGTTAACATGGTTTGGATGTTGTATGCCCTCGTACATCGTCTCCGATTGCCACCAAGTCGGATTTTGCGGATCATGCAAATCAGTCAAATACACGGGATTGTGATCTTCATATCTTTTTGTAATAAAATATGTAAATAAATTTTTTCTTATGGAAGCAAACAAAACAGTTTTAAAAATCACTAATTTACCTGCAAAATTCACAATTTTTATGATTCGGATTCATAGTTTGTATGCAGAAGTGATTATCGCCTAATTCTCCACAAGTATTTGTAGATTCAATTTGCAACTGATAAGCTGCATTAATAAATTCCGGCATACATTTCTGATAAAAAAAAATATTTGTTAGTAGTAAAAAATTATAAAATAATTTTTCATACATAACTTATATACATATATATAACGATCATAAATAGATGTCACTCACTATGTTTCTACTTTTTATTTAAAATAAATTCTTATTAAAAGACAAATTGCAATAAATTCTAATTGAATTTTTAAAAATAAATATAAAATAATACCATATCACTTTTTAAGTAATTTTATGTAGTAAAAATCATTGCTTTAATGTTAAAGATTTTCTTTGACTCAGAGTAATCCTGAATACATAATTTACTCGTGCTATCATATATTTAATTTACTTCGCAAAATCATTCAGATAAATGATTCTGTAGCAATTAAGACAAAATTTTTTTGGAAAGATTAGATTTATGGAAAATTTGTGCGTTTTTTTAAACATAATATGTGACGCACAGAGTAATATATCAAAAACTATCATATAATAATACTGTACTCTCCAGTTTTGGTAATAGAAGGTTTTTGAAAACGGTAGATATGCAGAATTATAATTACCCGGACGATGTAAAAGACTGTTTGACTATTATTTACTTATTTCATTTATTGAAGTTATTTGTGCCCTATATCTTTTTTTATTGAATATATACAGTGGCTCACAGCTTATTTGATGCAAGCAAAAATTTTTAGAAAAATGTTGTTTATTTCAAAATATTTTGCAAAATTAAAAAAACAAAGTATGCAGAGTTATTGTTTATAGTGTGTTTATTCATTTTCAAAAAAAAAAACCCAAAAATCTTCTTTCATTCCTTAGTAATGCATCAAAAACCAAAACCAAATGAAAAATTCATGTCACAGCTTAAATGATGCAACATCAAAAAAACTAATATTTTTACAAACTTCCGGACTAATTCTAAGTACTTAGTACTTTGTTGGATATCCCTTAGTAGTAATAACAGCATGAAGCCTTTTTGGCATGGAATCAACCAGTTTTTTGGTATAATCTGGACTAATTTTACTCCACTCTTGCTGTAAAGCGTTTCTTAAGTCAAATTTGTTGCGGATGTCATGTTTTCTGATATTTGTCTTCAAAACGGACCACAAATTTTCAATAACGTTCAAGTCTGGTGATTGTGCAGGAGTTTGGACAATGTGTGGACATTGCCATATCAACTACGTTTGTACTAATGCTGACTTGTGCTTAGGGTCGTTGTCTTGGCAAAAGCGAAAATCATCTGCAATCTGCAATTTCGTTGCACTTTGAATCAAATTTTCTTGAAGAAGCTTTAAGTAAATATTTTTATTCATAGATTCTTCGATGAAGACCAAATTTCCTACTCCATTTGATGATATACATGCCCAAACCATAACATTACCACCTCCGTGTTTTACGGTAGCACGTAAATTTTGTATTTTGAGCTCAGAATTGACTTCGCGCCGTACATAAGATCTTCCATCTGATCCAAATAAGTTTATTTTGACTTCGTCTGCAAAAAGTACATTTCGCCAAAATACTGGACTCTTATTTAAATGCTCTCGTGCAAACTGCAACCTTTTAATTCTATTTTTTGCACTTACGAAAGGTTTCTTTACAGCTATTCTATCATTGAAATTTGATTCTCTCAATATTCTGCGGACGGTTTCAGGATGACAAATTTTTCCAAAATCTATTTTGGCCATGTCTGTCAACTTTGGAGCGCTAATTGTTGGATTTTTTCGAATTTGGTTTACCAAATACCTCGATTCTTTTTCTGTAAAAATTTTATTGGGAGCCTTTCGTCCCTTATTTTCTATGCGATTTTCATGTACGAAGCGTTCAATTATGTGTTGAACTGTTGAAGAGCTTATATTTACCATTTCACCAATTTTACGCTGGGGAATTCCCTTTTTAAAGTACTCCAACACTAACTCACGCTTTTCAATTGATGTGCGCCGTCCCATGGTTAACAAAATGCACTCACTTTAATTTTTATATTATTTTCGCTCAAAAACTAGATTACAAATGATCGCAGAATAAAAATATTTTAATTTCTGTGTAATCTGGCGACAAAAATAACGGTATTCTTAACTGCATCATTTAAGCTGTGACATGAATTTTTCATTTGGTTTTGGTTTTTGATGCATTACTAAGGAATGGAAGAAGATTTTTAGGTTTTTTTTTTTGAAAATGAATAAACACACTATAAACAATAACTCTGCATACTTTGTTTTTTTAATTTTGCAAAATATTTTGAAATAAACAACATTTTTCAAAAAATTTTTGCTTGCATCAAATAAGCTGTGAGCCACTGTAAGTATATCTGGTACAATTACCTCTCAGCCACAAAAATGTATACATTTTTTTATCCTAAACGTCCAAATTTCATAATGTTGATCTTATGAACGACAAAGGTTTGAAATTAACTATATAAAGAATACAATTTTTCAATAGATTAGTCAATGATTAATCAAATATTGCAAAACAAACCTAATAAGAGGGAATCTCTTGCTGAATTAACACTTGAAATGCCCTATAAAAAATGCTGTGGCAGACTTGTACCCATATACAACGGGCTTTAGAAAATAAAATATATTATTATTGTACAAGACTTACAAAGGGAAGCATATCAATAATCAATGGAGAGTGTATCAGGCAACAAACGCATTTATGTTTTTTCAAAAAAATAATTCTTAAAAAATAATAACTGAAGTAAAAAAGGACAATATTTCTTTGTTAAGATATTTATGTTTAAGGTATCCATATTCACATCCCGCGAGAAATGTAAAATATATATTTAATATATAGTATATATTATATTTATATACTATATAGTATAAAATTCATTTTAAAATTCATTTCTTTTTTTTAATTAATTTATTTTTATTTTATTTTATTTTATTTTATTATTTATTTAATTAATTTAATTTAAACATTCACTAACAAATTAACTTATACATAAAACAAACATAAAACAAAACACAATAATTAGCGCAATTTAAACAAATACCGTAACTGTTAACCGTTCGAAAATTTTTTTAAAAAAGTGTTGCTTTGTATTCTAAAAGGAGCAGAAATATATAAAAAGCATGTAAATGACTAATACTTTGACATACATATCACATACATATGTGAAATATAATTAATTGTTAAATTTATAATATACAAATTATATATATATAAAATTTATAATTTAATATTATATATAAAATATTTGTATATACTTATATATATATAAGTATAAAATATTTGTATACTTATATTTTTTCGACGTAGCATCCATCGGTCCTTTATCAAACGTATGGTATGTAGTAATCATTCTAGCTTACCCTGCTTTTTGTTGTACATTACATTTGACACAGTTTTTGATTAATTTGCGTTTCGTAAGCCCATTGAATTGACAAATGTTCAAATTGTCCCTCAGTAGTGATAAAGGCGATATACTCAATAGAATTTTCATGGACTGGAATTTGATAAAATTCCGATGCCATATCTAACATAGAAAAGAAACGAGATTCACTTAATCTGTCGATCTGGTCCGAAATTAAAGGCAATGGATACCTATCAGGCACAGTATTATCGTTTAACTGTCTATAATCAACACACATTCTATCGGTACGATCTGTCTTTTTGACTAAAAGTATGGGATTTGCAAAAGGAGATACACTTGGACGTATAACTCCCATTTCTAACAATTCATCAATTTGATTACGCATTACTTGCCATTCTTCAGGGCTTAAACGATATGGTCCACGAAAAACACATTTAGTAGGGTCTTTAAGACGTATTTCCATTGGCTCAGTCTTGGCCCGGAATTGAGAAATACTTTTTATAAAATTTCTTTTAAATGAATTTAGAATGTCCATCAATCTGGTTCTAACACCGGGTAAAATATCAGTATCTAAAGTACTATCATTTATTTCAAACGAATGTGCTGAACTGCATGTGCTGACTTCTTTTAATTTTGACACCACTAACGTGTCTGCAGCCATTGTCATAGTAAGTCCAAGGTCTAAAATTGAATTTTTGTTTGACTTATGGCAGATTACTGCCTTAGCACTGCTCAACGATGATTTACACTGGAAAGCTTTGTGGCCACTCGAACCATAACGAAAACACTTCTTTATTCAGCGCAATATCGCCCTCTATTTCTATTATATATATATATATATATATATATATATATAAAATTCCATAAGGAGATAATAATTATATAAAAATGTATATAAATACATATATATAAATAATATAATTTAATAAAATAAAACATAATACAATTATCTACACTAATAACAATAATTGATAAGTGAGGAAATTTGTTTAAGTCTTTCGGATAGGATTATCCATAATTTAAGATTTTTATTTTATTTTTGAAAGATTTTTAATCTTTTAATCAAAATTTCGAATTTGAAAACTACTGTAAAGATTCCCGCAGCTTAGTAAATATGAAAAGAGGTACATGAAAATGGAATGTAGATACAAACTTTGTTTACTATTTTCATTACTGTATCTGCAGGCGATAATTTCATTTGCGATATTCTATATTAGGCGTTTTAATTAAATTTAATTGAAATGAATACAAGTAAAAAATTTCACGAATGTTTTCACATATTAAGTAATCGTCACATCATTTTAGCTTCAATTAAAAATATGAATAAACCGACAAATTGTTTGAATTTTTTTACCAAATTCAATAGTTTATTCCTAGAATCAGTTAATTAATATTTTAATAAATGAAAAAATATACTCACTTGTGGTCTTCCGTAACCGTCGTTACATTCAAGCGCAGCCATATATGTCGTTGCTCCATGGCTTACTGCAATGGTCGGCGCATTTTGGGCTATTAAAAATATTAAACACGTGTAGGACACTAACAGATTCATCGTGCTTCTCCACTTATAGCCCCAAGTAATTTGTTTCATATTGAATTTGTATTATTCTTTTTAATTAATTTTAATTTTATAAAAAATCCTTTAAGTGATTTTATGTTAATTTTGTTAAGTTCTCATCAAAAATTTTAAAAAAATTAGAATTCAATGCATCATTGCAGAGGTGGATTTGGTGTGTCTATAACAGCCAGCACTAATTGTGAATATAAAAAACAATGATGTGCAATATTTGAAATTTTTTATTAATTTAATTTGTTTGTTATTCCTTCAGAAAAATGCTCTAATATTAAGTAATTAAAACACATTCAATTTACAGAAAGCAACTTTTTTGCCGGTAGCAGATGTCTGCCATATGAAATCTATCGACTAATAGGAAAATCTTATATGGACACAAAGCCAAATATTTTTTTTATTCTTTGATAGTTGCGTTTAATCACAGGAATAACTTTTTTTTATTGTTCCGCTAATTTTATTTAATATGGCTTAATAATATAATAATTTTTTAAATTTTCACTTTTCTAAGAGATAACTGATTTTAACTGATTGACATTTTATTTATTTTTAATATTTCGCTGATTTATAAACAAAAACTCAATATGAACAAATTTTTGAAATAAAAATAAACAAATAAAAAACGAGTAAAATTTTTTGAAAATGAACTCATGCCTAACACATCTGTACTCGTCTTGTAGCAGATACTCGTCCAGAATGTATTTGGGTTTGCCTACTAAGTACTTTGCTGTGCAGTGGCGTAGTTAGCTTTTCGTTCAATATTTCGGAATTTCGCTACTGGTGGGTGTTATACCTCATCCATTCCGTACTGCACAGATGAAATTGTTTTACATTTTGTGCGAAGAATACTTTTTTTCGTAAACTCGAAACAAAAATCTTCTGTTTTGTTTATAATGATTTTGTCGGTCCGAAACGAAGATGATTTCATTTCTTTTTATGAGTCTTAATAAAAATTTTACATTTTAATGCAAAATAGTTAAGTAAACATTATAAGCAACAAACGAATCAAATTAAATTACAAAAATTAACAGAACTAAACAATTATGAGTTGACTGAGTAATTTTGCTTTACTGAATCTGGAGTAGAGAGGCAAATATTCATTGTAATATTAATAAAAGAAAGGTTAAAGTAATTAAAACTTTATCTTAGCACTTGATTCACAACCCACACAAAATATTTAAACTAAAAACATAATGTCAGTTAATAATCTGTCAGTTGGGTACATAAATCCAGTATGACAATTGCAGCTTGAACTACAATATTTCCGATTTTACAAAGTTAAGTTATTATTTAAAGGATAAAATCAAATAATGAATATGCTGTGATAAAATATTTTTTTCTAAAGTATTTTTATCGATTCTATTTACTATATTACAAGTATTTACAATAATAATATATGATAATATGCTGTATATGTGTTTTATAGAGATTATGATAGTCCATTCAAAAAATTAAATTTCTTAGTTCTTTTATTCAACTATTCATTTTTTGCTGAAAAATTATTAGTTAACTACTCTAACTTAACATATTTAACTTATTGACTTAACAATGAGTTAAAAAATCGTATCAGGATCTTTGCTTTTATTTAAAAAGAAATATGGTTTTAGAGTTTTTTAGGTTTATTCAATCTTGAAAGGTTCTTAAATCCTAATAAATGTATTAAGGACATTTATATCTTCGGACAAATAAACTACTCCCCCTGTGTGAATTCTCAAGCACTCAACGTGAGTTCGAGTTCAGCGACAGCAAACGAAAGAAACCTTTTATTTTCTTCATTAATAGAAAATAAAAGTTGATCATCAATCAATCAGTTCAATTTAATCAGTTAATTTGGTATATTTGAGAGTATTATAACTAAGAAACTTAACTCAAATACATATTCGACAAATTCTACTCGGAAATAATAAACTTCGATAGATGATGTAACTGATTTTAACATCATATAGAACTTTTACGCTATGGTATGGGGATGTAATATCTGAATTAAAACTGATTACAATCTTTTATTCTGCAGTCAAGAAGATGCATTGATCTTGAATACATCAAAGTTGACGCTATCCTTAACCTAAGCAGAAACGATTTTAAAATCTACACTGAACTTCTTACAGGACACTGTAGACTCAATTATCAAATGAAAAATTTAGACGCGGTAGAAAGTGATTCCTGTCGACTCTGGCATGAGGAGAAGGAAACAACAAAACATATCCTATGCAACTGCCCAGCGGTGGCAAGACGTAGACTTGACTACATTGGAAGCGAGATCTTAGTTTCAAATCAAATAAGTAAAATTAACCCAACAGCAATTAAGAGATTTATAAATAATCTAGAATTGTTTTAGTTGGGGCCTTAGGTGCACCATAGATCTTTTAGGTCGGGGCATTCATATCCACATTCAACGTTTTCAACCATAGAAATTTAAGGAGCAATGTTTTCAGCACAAAGTTTTGAATTAATATACTTCTAGACCTAAAGATATATCATAGTACCGACAAAGTGATATGGACCACTTTCTTTTAGTTACAGAACTGACTAAACCCGCTGAAATATTGTAAGCATGTCATAAAAGCTTCATGACAGTAATATAATGTCTATTAAGTTATATGAAACTAGAACATTAAAACAACTACTAGCCTAACGAAGGCGAAAACTGAAGCATCAAATTAGGATTTTAATAGAAACAGGATATTTGTATTTGTTTATTTTAAGTCGCTGTATGGTGTAAATGTATAAAGTGTTTCAAGCAAGGTAACCTGAACAAGACAATAATAAAATTATAAATAACTAATTTAAGTTTTAAGTCCATAAAGAGTTTACTTTTTCTTGCGTCAGTTGGTGCAATCCATTATTATACATGATAATTATTTATTTAAAATGTAATTTCTTTCTTATCTATGTTTTCCATAATTCTAAATAAACAAAACTCGACTCAACATACTTCTTTTCTGGTATATTTCAAAAGATCATATACGAGAGTATATAAAGAATCAGCCATCACGAATTGTAACTCAGATATTTTATTTAAGCTGATAAAACCTAGTTGTTGAGAAAAGCAAAGTTGTGGAGAAAAATGAAATATTCAAAAACTGAATGAAAGATTATATTGTAGTTTCTATGTCATATTATATGTAACGACTGAGTTTTATTCTGTTTAGCCCATGTGTTAATGCGAATATATGTATATATGTGTATATAAAGTATATGTGTACATTTAAGCAACAGGCAGGCATATTCGTTCGTATATAAAGTAAAGAACTGTGCGACCTTTTAGGCCGTAGCGTTTATGACATCCGCTCTGTTCAGATTTTTTATTTCTCAGCCAAACAACCGACACTCAAGTTCCTTTTAAGATAAGAATTTGGGGTAAAGTGTGGAATCTGAGCACTCACTCACATTTTTAGTATGCATTCAACATTTAAATTTTATCGACCAGAGCGATAAATGCACTTTTTGATATTCTGGCTGCAAGATACACTATTTTTTTCTTGAGTCTGTTGTGCTACTGCACTTGTGTACATTTTTTGTGTATATATTTTTCTTGGATTATTTATGTACAATAATTTCATGTAAAATGAACTAAAAATTCTGGCCCTGTATATTACAGTTTATAACTTCTTAAAGTGATTTAATATTGTCAAAAAGGATACTTGGTCATTCGCTTTCTAAGAATTTCCATATTTTATGTTGTAATTTAATGAAATTTTCAAATACTTTTTTGTTTTCTGTTTTAATAAACTTCACTGAGTTCCTTGCACTCCGCTTTCAATTATACATATTTTACATATGTAATTTAAATGTGATATTTTGCTGAGTATCAAATTTTTAATAATTATATCAGCATTCCCATTAAATGCCAAGAACCTCTCATATATATTTAATAACAAACGTTTGTACTGTGGATTGCCAACCGAACATAGAGACAACATAGCTCACTTCACTTTAGTTATTTTCATTTTTGAGGATTTACATATCTCAACAATACTTTACTCTGAACTTCTTTTTTCTTGCTTTTGTTTTCTCCAACTATAGTATCACAATAAACACCGCAAAACTAAACCACTTCCGAGGACGTCCAAGACTCAACTAAATTTGTTTGTTGCTCTCAAAGTATCTTTCCCATGGAGTTAAGTTTTATGGTTTGTTTGCGGCCTGATCTGATCGCACTACGGAGATAATTTTTTACTCAAATACTCTTGTTTTATGGTTGCCAACCTAATTCTTTCTAGTTCATTTAATGTTTGATGTTTAATGTTTATATGTTATTGAAAATATACTACCATAAAAGATTATTTTTAATCTTTTTAGTATATTTTTAGTATATAATTTATAATTATGTTCATATAATTTACAATCTACATTATTGATATGAAGGTTAAACTCATATTATTTAGTTCATTCATTAGAGACCGAAGTTACTAAATGAATGATTACTGCAATATGTGATTTAAATAAACTATGGTAAGGATGTCTTGATATTGTTGCAACAATCAAGTAAAATGTAAGCATATAAACTTCAGAGTTGCTATAGTCAAACAAAGATAGTCTGATTAAAGCGTTTTTACCGTTTGAGTGAATCAACTTTTTGAACAATGTTGTAAATAATTTCATAACAAATAAACCATATTTCAGGTCATCTTGTTGGTTTCCTGGTAGTTAACCAGAGTTGGGAGCTGTCAATGCCATATAAATAATGGTTATATTGTTTCGCCAATTTTTAAGCAGTTGGCTTGGAAGAGATTTAAATCTTATCTGTATGTGTAATCAGTTAGGGTGATATTTAGCAAGTACTGCATAATTCGATGAGATTATGAAGAGATGAGTCTATATTTGTATAGTATTGTATATATCTATATTATCTATTTGGTCTACATATATAATGTAGTCTATATTTTTGAGTATTGTGACGATAGAAATTTATATATCAAATTTCTACCACACATATTACAAACGAAAGCTATCATCTGACTGTCACTACATTACTGGACAATATAACACATACAAACGCTACGGTAAAGAACAGAAATTACCTGAAAAATATGAAATATATATTAATAATATATTTGGCCACAAATTGTACGGACATTACCTACTATTCTCTAGCCTGATGAGCCGCGGGCATTGATACCAAGACTGGAAAAAAAACCTGAAAAGGAAAAAAGAAAAAAAACATAAACACAACTTGAGAATGTTTTAAGATAATAACATAAATTTTATTTATTTATTATACTCGTAATTTGAAACATACGTTGAACATTTACTAAATAAACTTAGAGCCTTTACAAAATTATTTAATAAACATGGATAAAAAATATATATATAAACAACCAACAACTAAAACACTCACTGTTTACTTTTTTTTACGACAAACAAAACATATCACAAGTAATACTTCTTCTGACATTTTTTTTTGGTTTATCTTTATTTTACACAAAAACAAAGATCACTGCATTAATAAATTATATTTTTCTATTAACAAACATAAACAAACCACCAAGGAAAAAAACAAATTTCAATAATACACCGGCTTCATGTAAAATCACTAAAATTCTTTTAATCAATTACACTAAGATTTACCCACTTATATTTTGCAACATTTTTTTTTTATTATAGTTTTCTTTATAAATATTTTTTTTTTTTAAATCAAAGAATTTAAATATTCACTATCCGAAGAACCACGCGAAGTAAACAAAAACGTGAAACACGGCGAAAAACAAAAGCATGCGAAAACACAAACTAGACAAAGTACACAAAAAGCACAAAAAATAACACAAATGGTACAAAATATACAGCAGGCATATCAACGGCAAATATACCGGTGCACTACACCAAAAAGCTCCGGCATATTCTGTATAAAAGAACGCACATTTGATATGATCGAGGGCTTGGAATTTCACTTTGAAAATGACAAGTACGCTGGCTTATTCAAAACCTGGCTCATTCAGTCAAGTATTATAAACCTGGCCCATTCGGTCAAATCATTAAATTATTATAATTTTTTTCTTTAACAATGCTTTGAAGGCAATTTTCATTACTTAGTTGAGTAAACTACTTAGATTAGTCTATGTTTATTTTGAGCCTTTTCCGAGTTAGTGCGTCAGGGCACTGTTACTCTTTTATAGTTGGGAGGTTTCCGCAGAGTCCCACCCATCTCATTGACTAATTTGTGTATTCGTTATAAGCTTCGTGATTATTTAATGACTGATCTAAGATCTGCGTACCGCCCCGTGCGGTTGGTGATTACCCTGCGATTAGAAAGCCTGTCGATTTTCGCATATAGCTTCAGCGCTTTGTCGCTTATGTATTTCTTGATCGGATCTAAAACACATTTAAAAATTTTGAAGAGCTCTTAAGCAGTGCAGTGTAGCATTGTAATCTTATAAATAAATCTTACCTATGTAATGTTATATATGATTTGAATGAGATTGAGTGAGTTATAAAAATAGTTTCTCTGTTTAAACGGTTGTTCTCCATGGGAGTTTCTAAAGGGTAGAATTCATTTTAATATTTTATTTGTTTATTGTACAAATATATACCAAATATTTCTATTATGTACTTTCGAGTACATGCAGTGTTTGCACATATTCACACAACTCTTATGTACAAGACAAGCTAATATTTCAGAGTGCGATAAGCAACTGAAAACCAAAAGTTTGAATTTCATTTAAGCAAACATTAAAGTACGACTATATGTCTAAATGGCTAAAGTTAATACACTCAACAACAACTCGAGATACGAACGAAGTGATGCGATACTTTTTTGTATCTGATATCGGCTAATGCTACATTTATAATCTACGAAATTGTACGAAAGACTGAAGAGTTAAATAAACAAAGTCAGTCACAATTAAAACTGAATGTGGCGGTAAATATTTGCGTAAACAGTTGATCGCTAATGCAAAATAAAATAACGTTTCTTTCAAGAAAATATTTAAAATCTAAAAGCATATAAAAACACGTACATAGGTACTAAAAAACTAAGAAGATTTTACACACTCATACTCATTTCCTTCAAAAAAAAATCTTTAAAAGTACAAGTGATGCTAAGAATTTCATTTCAGTCTCATAGTATAAAAAAGTTTATTGGGTTATCTCGAAACAGCATAAATTTACTGATAAGAGTTCATTCATTTTACTTATGTTGGAATAAAGTATATATTATAATATATGTACACATATTTTGGCTTCACAAAAGAACTATTTTCCTGAATAATTATTAACATATAAATATTTTATGTCAATTATACGATATATAGTATGCCTATGGTACATTGGGTTGGCTTTAGTGGAGATAGTTAAGAATAAGTGAAGCAGGATTCTTTGACGATTAGGCAATAGCAGATATGGAATAATGTGTACAAAATATAGATATGCTCGGTGGTGAAGAAAGTTTGATCATAACCTTTTATTAATTCCGCTAGCAACAAACTTCTCTAAAAGGTTTAGCGACAATAGTTTGGCTTCTATTTTTGATTTACAGCTGATGGGACACTAGAACGTTATTGCGCAGAAATAACAGTTATAAAGCAAACTACAAGTTTCGTATGTACAGAGATTTCAGAAAACCAACATATCAAAAAATATAATATGCCTTAATGATTTTATCATTTTCTCATAGAATGTTTGATCAGTGCAAAGTGTTATCGCAAAATAGGTTAACATACAAGAAGCAGATGAACAAGGAGTGTTATATATATTTAACAAAACACAGATCATGATATATGTATGTGTTATATGGTCATTTAAAATATCATAAGCTAAATGTAGGTTCTATAGTCAGCCAAAAAATATAGTCTATTATTCATTAGGGTTATAGCAATAAATTAAAATCTTTGCCATCTGTATGCATTAAGCAAATATATTGATCTAGAGAGCAGTCCTTACACGAAATCCTATAGTTGGTATAAGAACACTAATAATGGTGGGCTATTAGTAATTATATTGGCAGCATCAAATATTTTCGTGGACTCAAGTTCAAGTTTTCTGCATAAAACGGATTGTCATCTGATGATACTACTTACGTAATAAAATATCAAGACTGACTAGTTTTGAATTTTCGATCCACAACCTATCTGTGGTATATCCAAGGGGGATTAAGAGATTAATCTTACCTGGATAATATAACATCTAAACAATTTTGATATTTAATTTAAGTGCTTATATGTTACGCAATGTTTGTGTAGCAACGTTTTTCGCTACAGTAGTTGGGCGATACGTTTCGCATGTAATGATTTACTTCGCTTGACTTAGGTGTTTTCTGGACGAAGAATGTGTTTTATATATTTGATTAGTATTGATATTTCCTGATGTAGAAAGATGCTTGTTATGCTCAATAATTGTTTTTATATTTTATTAATTTTTTATTCTATTTATAATCAAATAAATTTAATATTTTAACAAGGTACATTTCGAACGTGTTGTTCACTTATTAGCCCAAATAGAAGTGTACAAGCACACTTTTGTAGAGTTGAGAGCTACCGAAGCCAAAAGGGACTTTTCCAGACAAACAAGATGATCTTCCGTTTGGTAGCAACCATGCGTTCGAATAATATCGCATGATTACTCCGTTAAGAAACTAAGCACAGGACCGGATTCGGAAAATATTGAATTCTCATTTTGATCCCTTCTAATATCGAATTCCATGTTCTGTCTTTTAAAGCGTGCGCTGTTGCATACTACGTGACCTTATCAATACTGGTTGAGTACATGACATTTCTTTGGGGATACCAAATATCAAAACAACATATTTTAAATTAAAATTTTTACATATATTTATTCTTTGAAATCTTAAGTTTAAATAGTAAAAGACATTCTTGAGATAACAGGATAAAAGTGTCACTGTGTGTAAATATAGGCCCCATAAAGTCTGCGTACAGTTTGTTTGATAATACCTTTAATTTTTAAGCAGTTTGTTCTTATTTTTGCTTATTTGGTATTATTTATCACTTAAATTGAACATTTAGCAAGCTCGGTGATCAATTAATTTTTAAATAGTATCTATTTTAAAGTATGGAATTAAGGGGAAAAGAAAAACGGGGCACAATAGACCCGACGGTCGCAGTATCAGATCCCCCTAGAATAATAATAATTATTTTAAAAAAAATATATTTATTTTTTAAATGATTATATTTATTACATAATTTATATATAACTACATATAATTTATGTTTTCTATTATTAGGGTAAGAATAATGTAAATAATCAATTAATTACATTATTCTTACCCTAATAATAGAAAACATAATTTTGTATAAATATAAATTGTTTTTTATGACTGAATTAAGTCAGATTCCAAAGAAGTTGAAGATAATGGTTCACTTTCAGTACAACTTTCCATACTTTCGGTACTATTTGAAAAGGACTCTGGGTTATCAGCCATTAACTCCTCAAATAAGTTCCGAACCTCATGTAACTGTAATTCAGTTGGAATAGATTTTATTTTTATTTTTTCTTTATATTCATATTTTAAATAAATTATGTTCCGTTTTTATCCTTCTTGCCATTCTGATTTTAGTTTAGGCATAATCATCTAAATTCATCTAAATAAACCGATTTACCTTACCCCGTTCGCAACTAGTTTCAAGATATCCCCTGCTTTAGCAAACTTTGGTTGCTATAAAAAAGAAATGTATTCGCAGAAATGTAAAATATGTATGAATATAACGACGACGGCGCTGCTGTTCATTTATAACTTTATTCATATCTCAAAATTCTTTGTCTAAAATTATTATAATAATCTTTAAAACTAAGGAGAGATATCTTACAATATAATTTAAATTAGGCATAGTTCATATGCATATTATTAAAATATAAAAGAGGAGATGTTCATATTACAATGTATGAAATTATATATGTATATTATAATATATGAAAAAATATTGTACAAATTCAAAATTATTGAACTAAAATTTATTAAAGTTACATAAAATTAAATTATTATAAATTAAAGTTATAAAAAATCAAAATTTAAAAGATACAAATTGGAAAATATATAAATTTGAAAATTATTAAACTAAATTTTATTGAATTTACAAATATCAAAGTTACTAAAAAATTAAATTCATAATTGAATTCACAAAAATTAAAGTTACTAAGAAATTAAATTCATAAAAATCAAAATTCAAAGATATATTGTACAAATTGAAAATTATTGAAATAAAATTTATTAAAATTAAGTTATTAAAAATTATTGTTATTGTATAAATCGGAAAATTTTTAAACTGAATTTTATTGAATTTACAATAATTAATGTTATAAAAATCAAAATTCAAAGATATATTGTACAAATTGAAAATTATTGAAATAAAATTTATTATAGTTACAAAAAGTTAAGTTATTATAAATTAAAGTTATAAAAAATCAAAATATACATTATATAAATTGGAAAATTATTAAACTAAATTTTATTGAATTCACAAAAATTAATGTTATAAAAATCAAAATTCAAAGATATATTGTACAAATTGAAAATTATTGAAACTTAATTTATTATAGTTACAAAAAGTTAAGTTATTATAAATTAAAGTTATAAAAAATCATAATTCAAAATATACATAATATAAATTGGAAAATTATTAAACTGAATTTGATTGAATTCACAAAAATTAATGTTATAAAAATCAAAATTCAAAGATATATTGTACAAATTGAAAATTATTGAAATTTAATTTATTATAGTTACAAAAAGTTAAGTTATTATAAATTAAAATTATAAAAAATCAAAATTCAAAATATATATTACATAAATTGGAAAATTATTGAACTGAATTTTATTGAATTCACAAAAATTAATGTTATAAAAATCAAAATTCAAAGATATATTGTACAAATTGAAAATTATTGAAATTTAATTTATTATAGTTACAAAAAGTTAAGTTATTATAAATTAAAATTATAAAAAATCAAAATTCAAAATATACATTACATAAATTGAAAAATTCTTGAACTCAATTTTATTGAATTCACAAAAATTAATGTTATAAAAATCAAAATTCAAAGATATATTGTACAAATTGAAAATTATTGAAATTTAATTTATTATAGTTACAAAAAGTTAAGTTATTATAAATTAAAATTATAAAAAATCAAAATTCAAAATATACATAATATAAATTGGAAAATTATTAAACTGAATTTGATTGAATTCACAAAAATTAATGTTATAAAAATCAAAATTCAAAGATATATTGTACAAATTGAAAATTATTGAAATTTAATTTATTATAGTTACAAAAAGTTAAGTTATTATAAATTAAAGTTATAAAAAATCAAAATTCAAAATATACATTATATAAATTCGAAAATTATTAAACTGAATTTGATTGAATTCACAGATATATTCAAAGATATATTGTACAAATTGAAAATTATTGAAATTTAATTTAGTATAGTTACAAAAAGTTAAGTTATTATAAATTAAAGTTATAAAAAATCAAAATTCAAAATATACATTATATAAATTCGAAAATTATTAAACTGAATTTGATTGAATTCACAAAAATTAATGTTATAAAAATCAAAATTCAAAGATATATTGTACAAATTGAAAATTATTGAAATTTAATTTATTATAGTTACAAAAAGTTAAGTCATTATAAATTAAAATTATAAAAAATCAAAATTCAAAATATACATTATATAAATTCGAAAATTATTAAACTAAATTTTATTGAATTTACAAAAATTAATATTATAAAAATATAAAAATCAAAATTCAAAGATATATTGTACAAATTGAAAATTATTGAAATAAAATTTATTAAAATGAAGTTATTAAAAATTATTGTTATTGTAACATATCGTTCAATAATGTGTGTGACTGACACGTAGATGGCGGCACTAAACTAAAAAAATATTGTATTTTAATGAAAAAAAAATACTGTTCAATGCCAGGAATGGCTTGAAAAACATTATTCGGACTCTGCTCCATCAAAAAGAAGCATTTGTTATTGGTATGCCGAATTCAACCGTGGTCGTACAGACACCGATGACATTCCATCTACTGGACGGCCACATGACGCTGTTATTCCGGAAAACGTTGAAAAAACACTGAAAATCATTATGTCCGACCGTAAAGTGAAAGTGAGGGAGATTGCTGACACTCTACAGATATCAGCAGGCAGTGTACACACCATAATACACGAATATTTGGGTATGAAAAAGGTGTTTTCCAAATGGGTGCCGCGTTTGCTCACATCGGAGCAAAAACAACAACGAATCGATGATTCAAAGAGCTGTTTGGACATGTTTACGCGCAATAAGTAGAAGTTTTTGCGTCGGTACATCACGATATATGAAACATGGATCCACCATTTCACTTCAGAGTCAAATCGGCAGTCTGCTGAGTGGCATGCAGCCGGTGAAAGCCGCCCAAAGCGACCAAAGACGCAGCAGTTGGCTGGCAAGGTTATGGCGTCTGTATTTTGGGATGCGGATGGAATAATATTCATCGACTATCTCCAGAAGGGGCAGACCATCAACAGCGACTATTATATAGCGTTATTGGAGCGTTTGAAAAACGAAATCGCAAAGAAACGGCCTCATATGGCGAAGAAAACAGTTTTGTTCCACCAAGACAATGCACCGTGTCACTACTGCGACTACTGGCTCTTCGCAGACCTCAAAACGATGCTCCATGGTAAGAGATTTGGCTCAAATGATGCAGTAATCGCCGAAACTAACGCCTATTTTGAAGGCAAAGAAAAATCGTTTTACAAAGGCGGTATCAAAAGATTGCAAAAGCGTTGGAATGATTGCATCTCCCTAAAAAGGGACTATGTTGATGAAGAAAAACGAATTTTGGCAAGAAAATGTGTTTTAATTAGTTAGTCACACACATTATTGAACGAAGTGTTATAAATTGGAAAATTATTAAACTAAATTTTATTGAATTTACAAAAATTAATTTTATAAAAATCAAAATTCAAAGATATATTGTACAAATTGAAAATTATTGAAATAAAATTTATTATAGTTACAAAAGGTTAAGTTATTATAATTTAAAGTTATAAAAAATCAAAATTCAAAATATACATAATATAAATTGGAAAATTATTAAACTGAACTTGATTGAATTCACAAAAATTAATGTTATAAAAATCAAAATTCAAAGATATATTGTACAAATTGAAAATTATTGAAATTTAATTTATTATAGTTACAAAAAGTTAAGTTATTATAAATTAAAGTTATAAAAAATCAAAATTCAAAATATACATTATATAAATTCGAAAATTATTAAATTGAATTTGATTGAATTCACAGATATATTCAAAGATATATTGTACAAATTGAAAATTATTGAAATTTAATTTATTATAGTTACAAAAAGTTAAGTTATTATAAATTAAAATTATAAAAAATCAAAATTCAAAATATATATTACATAAATTGGAAAATTATTGAACTGAATTTTATTGAATTCACAAAAATTAATGTTATAAAAATCAAAATTCAAAGATATATTGTACAAATTGAAAATTATTGAAATTTAATTTATTATAGTTACAAAAAGTTAAGTTATTATAAATTAAAATTATAAAAAATCAAAATTCAAAATATACATAATATAAATTGGAAAATTATTAAACTGAATTTGATTGAATTCACAAAAATTAATGTTATAAAAATCAAAATTCAAAGATATATTGTACAAATTGAAAATTATTGAAATTTAATTTATTATAGTTACAAAAAGTTAAGTTATTATAAATTAAAGTTATAAAAAATCAAAATTCAAAGATATATTGTACAAATTGAAAATTATTAAACTGAATTTGATTGAATTCACAAAAATTAATGTTATAAAAATCAAAATTCAAAGATATATTGTACAAATTGAAAATTATTGAAATTTAATTTATTATAGTTACAAAAAGTTAAGTTATTATAAATTAAAATTATAAAAAATCAAAATTCAAAATATACATTATATAAATTGGAAAATTATTGAACTGAATTTTATTGAATTCACAAAAATTAATGTTATAAAAATCAAAATTCAAAGATATATTGTACAAATTGAAAATTATTGAAATTTAATTTATTATAGTTACAAAAAGTTAAGTTATTATAAATTAAAGTTATAAAAAATCAAAATTCAAAATATACATTATATAAATTGGAAAATTATTAAACTGAATTTGATTGAATTCACAAAAATTAATGTTATAAAAATCAAAATTCAAAGATATATTGTACAAATTGAAAATTTATTGAAATTTAATTTATTATAGTTACAAAAAGTTAAGTTATTATAAATTAAAATTATAAAAAATCAAAATTCAAAATATACATTACATAAATTGAAAAATTATTGAACTGAATTTTATTGATTTCACAAAAATTAATGTTATAAAAATCAAAATTCAAAGATATATTGTACAAATTGAAAATTATTGAAATTTAATTTATTATAGTTACAAAAAGTTAAGTTATTATAAATTAAAATTATAAAAAATCAAAATTCAAAATATACATTATATAAATTCGAAAATTATTAAACTAAATTTTATTGAATTTACAAAAATTAATATTATAAAAATATAAAAATCAAAATTCATAGATATATTGTTCAAATTGAAAATTATTGAAATAAAATTTATTAAAATTAAGTTATTAAAAATTATTGTTATTGTAACATATCGTTCAATAATGTGTATGACTGACACGTAGATGGCGGCACTAAACTAAAAAAATATTGTATTTTAATGAAAAAAAATACTGTTCAATGCCAGGAATGGCTTGAAAAACATTATTCGGACTCTGCTCCATCAAAAAGAAGCATTTGTTATTGGTATGCCGAATTCAACCGTGGTCGTACAGACACCGATGACATTCCATCTACTGGACGGCCACATGACGCTGTTATTCCGGAAAACGTTGAAAAAACACTGAAAATCATTATGTCCGACCGTAAAGTGAAAGTGAGGGAGATTGCTGACACTCTACAGATATCAGCAGGCAGTGTACACACCATAATACACGAATATTTGGGTATGAAAAAGGTGTTTTCCAAATGGTTGCCGCGTTTGCTCACATCGGAGCAAAAACAACAACGAATCGATGATTCAAAGAGCTGTTTGGACATGTTTACGCGCAATAAGTAGAAGTTTTTGCGTCGGTACATCACGATATATGAAACATGGATCCACCATTTCACTTCAGAGTCAAATCGGCAGTCTGCTGAGTGGCATGCAGCCGGTGAAAGCCGCCCAAAGCGACCAAAGACGAAGCAGTTGGCTGGCAAGGTTATGGCGTCTGTATTTTGGGATGCGGATGGAATAATATTCATCGACTATCTCCAGAAGGGGAAGACCATCAACAGCGACTATTATATAGCGTTATTGGAGCGTTTGAAAAACGAAATCGCAAAGAAACGGCCTCATATGGCGAAGAAAACAGTTTTGTTCCACCAAGACAATGCACCGTGTCACTACTGCGACTACTGGCTCTTCGCAGACCTCAAAACGATGCTCCATGGTAAGAGATTTGGCTCAAATGATGCAGTAATCGCCGAAACTAACGCCTATTTTGAAGGCAAAGAAAAATCGTTTTACAAAGGCGGTATCAAAAGATTACAAAAGCGTTGGAATGATTGTATCTCCCTAAAAAGGGACTATGTTGATGAAGAAAAACGAATTTTGGCAAGAAAATGTGTTTTAATTAGTTAGTCACACACATTATTGAACGAAGTGTTATAAATTGGAAAATTATTAAACTAAATTTTATTGAATTTACAAAAATTAATTTTATAAAAATCAAAATTCAAAGATATATTGTACAAATTGAAAATTATTGAAATAAAATTTATTATAGTTACAAAAAGTTAAGTTATTATAAATTAAAGTTATAAAAAATCAAAATTCAAAATATACATTTTATAAATTGAAAAATTATTAAACTGAATTTTATTGAATTTACAAAAATTAAAGTTACTAAAAAATTAAAGTTATAAAAATCAAAATCAGTTATTATAAATTAAAATTATAAAAATTCAAAATTCAAAAGATATATTGTGTAAATATTGTGTAAAAATTTATCAATAAAACATTTAATACCATTCATCCACTTCTTGTGTTTATTTTATTTATCGTAATTTGGTAATTTGATTAAAGCGTGCACCCATGAATAAAACTATATACTTTTATCTCATCTATTAGTTTCTGGAATAAATATTACTTATTAGTAGAGTTTTTAATAATAAAAATTTTGATTTACCTTTTTTTCCAAAATGATGTCAATACATTTCAATAGCTTTTCTTTGAGGCAGTCATCATTAAAGCATATATGTTTGATTGGTGCCACTTATCGTCGCTATAGCCTTTTGTAAAAGAGTATAAAAGCATTTTTTATATTTTTAATTCAATTAATATTTATAAATTTCTCGCTAATACGAGTACTAAAGATAATTTCAACATATAAATTTGTGAGTGCACTGCAAAATACCAAACAAACATTGCTTTTTTTACCTATCGGTAATAATATCGTACTTTAAGTAATAATATCGTAAACATATGATGCAAAATATTTGTGTGATAAGTATATTCGTATACTTATATTATTTTCATATAGATAAATTTTAAGATACTTTTTGTATAATATATACAAGTGGTGATAAACTTGTTAGAGCTTGGGATCGTTTATCGCTAACTTCACCCACGCTCATCTGCTTTAACCCCACCCCATCCTCTATAACCTAGTTTCCCTAACGTACACACTTGATTTCTGGCTTAGATAAATCTAGCTCGCTATTTACTAAGTCTATTTTTTTTCTCACCTGATTACTGGAATGAAGTTTTCACAATGCTGGAAAAATCTTCTCCATTTATTCCTAAGAGTTGGTTTAGTGGGTTCAAGTTTCACACGGTGGCTTTCGATACTTCCACTTACATGTGGGTCAAATTATGCAAATGATTGCTGGTGTAAAAAATTCTAGTTGACATTATCTAGAACAAATTTAAGTAAATTCAAGATGTACATCCAATTTATTGAAGAAAAATATATAAGGTATTATCAGTACATATTTATTATTGAAACAAAATATTTGCCAATGAATTGAAATATAAATTTAAATTTATTTAAATAAACAAAACCAAAACAATATATGAACTGAATAATTAATATATAGATATTTATTGGTAATATTAGATTTTATCATAAACAAAAAATGCTCACTTTTTTTTGCTAAGTTTTATAAAAAATTATTTCTACATTTGTAATTTAATGTAACACATTTAACTTTTATATTTAATATCTCGTTTTCAACGAAAAACAAAGAAAATCGCAGTGTATCTTCAGGTCTCTGAAAGGAGTATATACGTTTACCTTACAACAGTACAATCGGAGTCCAATATGAATGAAATTCAATATTTTATTATACATTTACCAGATAAAGTTATTGATTTCACTTTGTTTTTTTTTAAAAATTCTACAAACAACGCAACTGAAAACAAACTTTAAACTAATTTATAAATTACAAAATTTGGCAAATATGTTATAGAAGAGCGGCACCATTCTGACAGCTTCCCCTTTTCTTGTCGAATGACAGCTGAAGTGACAAAACCTGGTTACTTTAATTATAAAGTAATTGAATTATGAATTATGGTTACTTATAACAAGCGCAGGGACGTTCAAGAAATCTGACGTGAATTTCGGGGTGAATTCGTTATAATAAATGAAATTTAATTAAAAAATATTTATTTATTGATTTTTTTTTTAAACATCAAACAAAAAAAAATTTCGATAGTTATAGGTTTTGAAAATACCTCGAGTTAAGAAAGAGTAAAAGTGCTCAAGTGCACTGTCTCAAAGAGCTTCAACATTATAAAATTACGATTACTTGTACGTTAGTGATTTTAATTTTGATTTTTAGGTGGCGTGTTTTGCTATAGAATTGTGTTGAAATTACAAATCAAGTTTATTCACATTTGATATTAGTTTCGTAATTCACAAGAGTAGAATAATTTAGTAAAATTGTAAATAGTTCTCAATCACAAACTGAAGCAAATTGAAATAAAATATTATTGCAACGTTCAGATAATTTATTATTTCGCACTTTCCACTTAAATGAATTTTGTAAATACAAACAGACTCCAATATTGCACAAAGTAGTTGTTGCTGCAATATAGTTGATATAGTCAACTTATAGAACGTTTACTTAGTATGCTTAACCCACTAGGTAAATTCCATTAACCAATAAAGAACCTCCGTTCTTTTTTACTTACTTTAATATATAGTAAACAAAATTCAACCAAAATTATACAAAAAATGATGAATGCAACATTGGAGATGATCGAAATTTGACAGATTTGACAGATTTGACACAAGAAACAAAATGTAAACATAAACAAAAAATCAGGAAAATGTAAGCCAACAAGAGGTAAGAATTTTTTAAAATATTTTTTTTATAAATAAAATATATAATATATAAAATATATAATACAAAAATAAGGTAATATATCAAATATATATTTGGTATTATACATAGTTAACATTAACATATTATTTAAAAAAAAAAATATTTATTTCAGTTAGTTATCAGGACAAATAATGGATAAGAGCTCACAAGTTTGTATGTTGCAATTATGTTTGTAATTCAATAAAATAAAATTTTAGGAAAAAACAAAAGCATTGGGAATATGTGGACTGAGAGAGGTGAGCAGTTATTTATATTGGTCACATAATGGAAGAAACACCTAGATAAAAAAGAAACACGGTTAAGGAAAAGGTGGTAGAGAGAGTTGATAGACTAATCAATTTTGAAGATTGAAAGAGGACATTCGCACGAAAGTGTCATGACAGACGTAGTGACTAGCCAGTATTTTTTTAAATTGTTTATTTATTATTAATAAAGTAAATGAAAATATAAATAGAGAAATAAATTAAGAAAAAAACAAAAGTTTTATTAAAAGTATTGATCTATTGTTTGAATATATTTTATGAAATAGTTTCTAAATTATTCAAGAAGTTGATGATAAATATACAATTATAATTAAGAAATAAGTTTCTATATTGAGAAGTGTAACGCTTATTGAGTTTTATTTTCATAAATAGTAATATAATTAGTGTAAATATTGCATTATTTATTCAATATATTTTTTACACTACACTAGCCTAGACTTGCTTCTTTGTTTTTAAATTTGATATTAAAAAATTCCATTTCGTGGGATTAATGGAGATCTTAGTACTTGGCTATAACACATCCTTTGAATAATATTTAATAAGAAGTATAGAACTAAAAAAGGGAAGAACTTACTTCACTTCAAAAGTAGTGAAGTAATTGTTAGAGATATTGAAAACTCGATTGGTATATAGTATGCAGCGGAGACTGAAGCTGTGGATAAAACAATTTTAGTTAATCAATTTTTAGTTAAAAATAATAGAACTAATTAATTATAATAAATAATAGTGATTAATGATCAACTTATGCCAAAATTTTATACAATGTCACTAGTATAAAGAAGTATAGATTCACAAATCAAACTTTATAGTTTTGATAATGTGAAAAATCTTCTGTTTTTACAGATAATAAAGATACCAGTATTACATTAGAAGCAATTTTTAACTTTTTAACTAAAATTTTAAGTTGCTATCATCGATAAATTGTATATTAGATCAAATTGGTAATTGAACATATCTATACTGATCATAAGCATTTTAAATACAGCATTAGCTTAAAGGGAACAAATTAGAAAAGGTAAACACTATATTTATATCCTTTCATTATATACTGAGTTATACCAGCAATAATATAATCATCAATAAAGCATTCAGCAATCTGCAGGACGACGTGAATTGATATGTAAGAGAAACTTATTTATCAATTTACACAACAAGACACATCAATGAAATACACAAGCCGCCAGGCTGTAACACTTCCCATACTCAAGCATCCCACAAGAATAAAACAAAGCCTCGTACATTGATGTATTTGTACTACATTTTTTATTATCGGTTAACATACGACCGACAAAAATCTGCATATGAACAATTACGTCCAAATGGGCCAGCAACTGAACGCGCAGGCAAACGTGGAGCAGCGGAGGGACATAAATGGACAAGTTTGTTTGTTCGAAAGCTCTGCCTTTGATCGCAATCATAACTGAAAAGATTGACTCTGTGCACAATTTAGACATATTCCAGCCAAAACAAGTAACAAAATTTGTAACGATTCAATTCAAACGCTGACGACGGCAAAGATGAAATGAATGATTCAACGCGGATTTGGAGCAGAGTGGTCCATTGGTGGAGTGTGGTTGCGGCGCAGATGCAATACGAGAAACAAACAAAAGTAATGTACAACTATTAAGTAAAATTTATGAAGACCATTTTAAGAATTTTCGTCATAATCTTAGTCTCGGAAGGTAAAGGTTAAACTGAAAGTTTCCACATGCGCAGACGCTTGCACTAATGCTTTTTTATTGATTCCCGATTTGGATTCATGGCGGTTAGTAATTTCCATTAAACCTGATAATTTGCTTTGCAGATAAAGTTGTATATGTACTCCCACACAATAAATGTTAATCGGTTTTTATTCCAAGTGTCTTATAAAACCCATAAACTTGGAAATTTTCTACTGAAATACCATGTTACTTGTCCTACTTACTTAATCAAGTGGTTTATATGACATAAATGAAAAAACGCGTGTATGAATACTATACTTCTTATTACTATCGCTTAAATAATTGAATTCATTTTTCGAAGCGATCTCTTAAGATTTATTATATGCACGTAGTGATTTTGTCATGAATCAATTAACTGTATTATTAGTATTTTTTCAATACTAGAAATTTTATCTGACTATATTCGTAGTGTGAAACTCCAAAAATATATTTAATCTCAATTTTTTATTGTTTAAATCTTATAATAAGCTTAAAAGCATCCTCAAATTCTAATTTCTAAATATCTAAATTTTTCAAATATGACTTTTGTAAGAGTCTATCTATCGATCTATCTATCTATCTTAAAAATTACAGCGAAAACTAATTGAATTTTTCATAAATTTGTTGAACAATTTAATTACACGAGAACTTTGTCTACTGATCTAGATTACAAACGAATGACATTTATAAATACATATTTGTACCATCAAATGTAATTTTAAAAGACGCTAAATAACTTAATTAACTGCTGGACGCCAACCGATCCGAAAAAATACAATTTTCCACAATATTTTATCTGGAAGTTCGGTCAGAAAGGTGGTACGAACGTTTGACTTTATCTTTTAATCGAAATGTTCAAAAATGTCAACAATGCGCCTAGATACAAAAGACTTCGTGTAGTTATCCTTAAAATAAGTGTGTCCATTCATTTGACATTATTTTTAATTTATTATCACTACACTTTTCCTTTTTTTGGGCAAATTCAGTTAAAGCCTCCAACAGGTAGCAAACGATCGGTGTAACAAACGGTCGAACAGATACATCTCGGCTTGTCGTGAGGTACTTGCCAAACCGTAAATTAGGACGTCGATGTCTAAAATTCAAGCAATAATCATAAAATTCACTATCAATAAGTCATCATCAATGCTTATAATCGTAATAATAGCTAAAAATTTGTATAATAAAATCGAAAAAATATAAACATAGAAACAATTTCATAGAAGGAAAAGCACATATTAAATGGTTCATGTGCGCAGACAAGATCTATTTCAGTCCGTCACTTGAGATTCTTTATTTATTATCAAAATATATATATATAATTACTTACTAGTTATTAAATCGTTTATTATATAAAAATCATACACCTTTTTGAAAAAATAATTAAATTTAATGGCCTTACATATATTTAAAAGTACAGGATAACATATTAACAACGTAGTTTGAAGAAACACCGCTGCTGCCCTCCTTCCAATTCATGGAAATAAAATAAGTTATAAAATAAACATTACCTTTAAGTGAAATCACAGTCACTCTAACATAAATGTTTCTATAATAATCTGTAATAAATAGTATAAAGTGATAGAAGCTTCGACTTCAGAATAGATTTGAAGTTGAACGGCTAAAGGACATCTTTGGATTTTGTCCGTTGAATGTTTAAATCAATTACACAAAAGACCAAAACTATGAAAAGAACTATGAAAAAATTAAATAAAAAAATTATGTACTTAAAACTAAGCTTCGGTTTTGAAATAAGAATACGCACAATACTATCGAAATAATTATGATGGTCTATTTCTACTGATAACGACAATCCTTCCGTTGCAATCGCGACTTTTAATTTATTACCCAAAGTCTACAATGCTATGCTTTTACAAAATACGGTTTCCGAAGAGATAGGGCTTTTAACCCAATTAACGTGCCAACAATTACTTTCTGAGTGAAAGAGTGATGCGATGCTATATGTAGCATTACATACCTATAGTGCTAATGAAGAAGTGCTGCCCACAGAACCTACCTTGAAATCTATTTAATATGTTCGTTTAATATAAGAACATCTGGGTCTGCTATTTGTGTTTTTTTTCTACAAAATCTAATTTTCATTTCGGTCCCCTATTAAAAATTACACCTTGAAATAGGAAAGACTGTAGTAAACTATTTACTATTTTTTTTCTT